TTTTAATAATCACATTACTAAATTTTGATCCCTGAAATTCTTGGTAATACCAATGTTCACTTTGTCTGGTTTTGTTGTCAAGCATGCCTCAAATAAAAATTTTTTGGCCGGAAAAAATAGAGTATCTTTTGTGCACTGATACTGAAAATATGTTTTCCAATACATTCTATCAGTTTAGCATAATACTTTTTAGTGTTCTTGCCTATACATAGAATGGTAATTATTTTGCCAAAAACGTAATACGTAAATACGTAATACTAATACATAATTACGAAATTAATTACGGGTGACGAAATCAATTACGAATGACGAAATTAAATGACACCTATTATTTATCTCGTTATACTAGTATAATGACATACTTTTTTTAGAATTATAGAATTTATTCTGTTATAATGACATGTCAGTATAACGGGAGAACCAATTAAAATCATTCTAATCATTTCTGAAACATAAGGAACTAAAACTTATGCCGGGATCAAAATGGACCAGTATCATGGAAAATTCTGATAACACTTCTGTATAATGCTGGTCAATTTTGACCCGGCGTAAGTTTTAAATTTCCTGATAGAATTGAATGAAATAAAAAAAAATATATAATAAAAATAAAATTACAAAATCACATGATAATGATTCTCATATGACTTCTATATGAACTCCCGTTATAATGACATTCTCGTCATATTGACATTTTTTGATATTTCCAATAATTAATTCGTTGTTATTCATAATTAATTTCGTCGCCCGTAATTAGTTTCGTCACCCGTAATTAGTTTCGTCGCCCACAATACGGTAATTAATTTCGTAATTATGTTTTTAAAGAGGAAAATGGTAATTAACTATGATAATTACGTACTTACGGTAATTATGCAATTACCATCCCATGTATAATGTCAACAACGGTTTGCATAGAAAATTTTCACAATAGTAATTAATTTGTCACCCGTAATTAATTTCGTTACCCGTTATTAGTTTCGTCACCCGTAATTAATTGCGTTAATTACGAATTGCGAATTTACGGTAATTAGCTAATTACCATATCATGTATACTGAGGGCAGGACTTTGGACAAGTATGAATGTCGCACTGACAAGTTTAATGTTCATGGTTTATGGGAATGAACAAATTATAAAGTCTCAGTTTATGAACTTCCATTAAAACCACATGAACATTGCATTAGTGTGATTATTAAATATTTTAATAAGGACTGTGGTGGTGTTGACAATACCAATGCCAGAATAATGGGCTGTGGAGCAAATTATAAGCATCAATTAACTACCTCAGTTCTATTTCATGATATCTTCTTTTTAAAGGAACTCATGCTGATAATTCTGGAAAGGAGGCAGATGCATCATTTCGTCCAATAAAACTACAAGTGCCCGCACCATCCAGAAGTGATGGAGAGATACTTTTATTTTTTCTATCGATTTGGAACTCTTGATATTATAACCTTATATTTCATGATTTCAGAGTAAACCATGGCCAAATATTGTCATAAAAGTTGCATATTCTGAAAGCATAGATCATGTCTTTAGGAAAGTGAAAGAATACTGGCTAAAGGATTATAGTTGTGTGCATGATGTGATCATCAGGAAATTTTCCCCACTGTAATATTACATCCATAAAATTTTAATATGTAAAGTTGTAATATTTGCATAAAAAATTATTTAATATTTACACTCAATGTAATAATTGCATAATTTTTGTATGCTTATTTGCATAATATTACAGGGTCTGCTGTAAACTTACGTATATAGTGTAATAATTATGTAAATCTGCATCAGAAAAAATTTCCTGATGATAGTTGTTAAAATCGATCCAGTTTCTGTAGGTAGAATGAGGTCCTCGTCATATCTCATATCCGCCGCATCTCTTATTAATGCGAACATAAGGTGGGCAATGACATTTTTAAATTTTAAAGACTTTCGAATCATAATGTTGGAGGTAGCATTCGATAGTTTTCCCTGTCCTAATCCAGTATATATGGTAGAATATGCGAGTATCAGAAATTACACTGCGCACATAACAGGATAGTTTAGGAAGATCTGCAAAATAATAAAATCCGCTCGACATTATAAAATAGTAATAGTAAAAAAATGTCTCTTGTTGCGGATTATAGTTCAGATGTTTATAGTAGTGGAGAAGAAGAGGAAAAAACGACTACAACAAATAAAAACGAACTTTCTTCATTAATTCCACCACCAAAAAAAAAGAAAGATGGTCCTGTAAAAATAGTGATTGATTTACCTTCTTTCACCAAAGACGAAGAAAGTGAAGATGAAAAAAAAACTATAAAAAATAATGGCAGGGGTGGTAGTGATCTACTTTCTTTATTACCTGCACCAAAAAATTTAATTAAAGATAAAGCATCAAATAAGTCAAATCTAGCTAGTGTAAAACTTAATGTCTCATCAACAATTGAAAATTCTAATATATTAAAAACTGATTCTTCTACTACTACTTTCTCTCCTTCTTCCCATCTTAATCCAAAATCATTATCAAATGAATTTTTGTCTAATGAACATTATAGTTATAATAATTGGGAAGGAAGTAGCACTAGTACATATACAAATAATCAAGTTTATTATCACGATCAATCCATAGAACAACAACAAATACAAGATAATAAACAAATACAATCTGAATGGATACCTGATGATGAAGTGGTATTTATTTATATGATCTTTCTTAATTTTTTGCTATATATTATTATTATTTAAAAATTATTTTATTTAGATTCAAAAATTAGGTGGCAGAAGAGGAAAAGAAGGTCCAATCAAAATCAAAGAAATCAATGCAGCAGACCAAATGGCAGATGCATGGCAAACACAAATGGCAGATATTACAAAACCTTCAAAAGGAACTGGAAGTGGCCACTCAGTAAATATTTAATTAACATCATTGTCTTTTAAATAATATATTATTTTTATTAAAATATATTCTATTATTATAGAATTTGAAGCCAAGTAAGGTACAAAAAAGAAAACACAATTTAATGTATTTGGCATATCAAGCAACTTCAATGGAAAATGATTTAAAGGAACAATTTGCAACTAATAAAAAAACAAAGAGGGAAACTCAAGCAAAATACGGTAATAATATTGACTATGTGATAAATAATATTGTTATTTTCAAAAACATTTTTAATTAAAAAAAAATAATAATTTTGATTTTTAGGATTTTAATAAATGCATAGATGATTATATTAAGGTTTAAAAAAACTATTATTGTTATTATAACAATGTAGATTATAATATAGATATATATTTTCATTTTTATCATTCATTAAATTTATTTGGTTCAATCAATACCACTTTCTCCTCTATTAAAGTTGCTAATGTTATACTAGATATTTTGCTACTACTGTTTGATCCATCAACATTATCACCACTAGTATCATTTTTGCTGCTGCTGCATTAAGACAATATTGTATCTGGATGTTAATTTATAAAACAATGGTAGATTATCAATTAATTATTAAAAAAAATTTTTATATTTATTTAACTAATCAAGTATTAAATATGCATCCTCATATAACTAAAAACATCAAGTGTTGCTCCAACTGGAACTTTTATCTTTAATATTACTATTACTATACACATGAAATTTAGTGCGGGATTGCGTTACACAGATAAAATTCTTTTGATTAAAACTTGCAGGATGACCCGTTTCGGGACCCTATTTTGACAAACAGGTGACTGCTGCAGCTGGGTCAAATTCAGTGTTGGCAATTTAACTGGTTCAAATCTTTTTTTGAACGATTTGAACTTTTGAATTGTTAATTAGTTAAATAACATGCTGATCATTTGAACTTTGCTGAGCAGTTATTTAACTAATATGCAAGTTAAGTAGGTCGCAATATATATATATTGTGACCTACTTACGTTAGACTGTTACCTACTTATGATTAGACTGCTACTTACTTATTTTATAGCTACTCATTTTGACCTCTAATAAGCTTGTTATTTGCTTCCTTTTAATGATTTGATGATATGTAGATCGCATTTGTATTGCCATTTAAGAGCCACTGAGACATGTGCCAGTGTGGCATGCGTTTTGCTTTTGTCTCGTTATTCGAGTGACAAGCGTTTTGCGTTTGCTTCGTCAAAGATGAGATGTTTATAGTATGCTCATCAGGTGATGTGTAGATTGCATTTGTATCGTCATCCGAGAGTTATCAGGATATGCAGGTGACTTGATGTGCGATTTCTATTTTTCACGTCACTCAAATGACGATTGTAGCAAATTTTTGTCGTCACCCATATGCCATATAATGTATGCCAGTTTGGTAATCATGGCCGATTTCTGTCATTGGGTCACATGAGCAAAAAAATATGCTGACGATGCATTCAGTCGTGTGTCATTGGGGTGTTACAAATTATAATAAACACAAACATAGTTGAGCACACATAAAAAATCATATGTGCGGATTTTTCGCCG